CATTGGGAGATACTTAAAAAAAAAAAAAAAAAAAAAACGAGAAATCGAATCAGTCATTGGGAGATCTTAGAACAATTCATTTTCTTTTTTTTTATAATCCAATTGACAAACTGATAAATTGTCATCAAATTAATGAAAGAAAGAAATAAAATAACTTTGTGTTCGCTTCATTAATTAATTACAATTTATGTTTCTGTTTTTGGTTTCGCTTAATTATTTTAAAAATTACAACTTTTTTTTTCCTAAGTATTACGCAAATAGCAATGAATAAATAGTTTAAGATAATTCTGAGAAATTGATGAAATTAGAATTTATGAAAGAGCAACAAAATTGGAAAATTTTCAACAAAATTTCAACGTAATTGAAACTATTTTCCAACGCTTTTGTCAAGTTTTTTTTAGTATGAAATCGAAAAATTATTTCGATGATAGTAAAATTTATGTCAATAACTTAATTAGATCGATTAATTAATTAGTATGCTAGCAATGTTTTTTTTTTCTTTAAATTTATTTGAGAAATATCAATAAGCAATGCAATAATTTGTAGGAAAAAAAAATAGTGATAACTGGCTAAACTGTTAATTGATAACATTTATATGACGAACTATTTAAAGCCATTTGTAAATCAAATATTTCATCAACTAATAGTGACGATTTCTCAATATAATTTATGCAAAATATGATATTCAAATAAACAAATAAATGGACAAATTGTGCTATATGGCGGCAATAGAATGTTGCTAATCAATTGGGAGCATAAATTGTCAATGATAAGATAAACAATGCATTTTCCATTTGATTTAGCTAACTGAAACAGATTGAATTACACATTTGCATATTTTATTTAACATTTTTAACATTGCCATATTTTTTTTTTATTTTTTACGTATCATATTTTATCATATCATATCATGTCTTTATCATTATCATATTTTATGGTATTTTGTCATATTTTAGCAAAAGTAATGGCGAGTTATTCTAATGAATAATATTATCAGTATATAATGCAATCAATATGATAAGGAAAAAGCTAATTTGTTAGTTGAATGCGAGCAAGAAGTTTGTATCAGTGATTTGTTATCTCATTATCATTGCCGGATTGCGATCAATAATGATAAAAGGAGTGGAATTGTTGTTTGAAGTATGAAATAAGTGATAAGTTGTTATCAGAATAGAATAGAATTAGTGATAAAAAACCCTTATATTAGTTATTACGTTTAGGAACTATTGCCAGAATATCGTATAATCAATAATGACAAAACCATTAAATACTTTATTTGAGAATCATTTTTTTTTATTTTTTGATCATACTTGTCATAATTTATTGTATTTCAGCTGAATGTATTATCACATTATTCATTATCAATGCATCTAATCATTTTTAACACTTTGCATAAATTATCAATTACTTATGATATCATATCAATCTTAATTATTTTCAATACTTCACAGAGATTATTAATTCCATGTGATAATTTAAATGTTTACCGCATACTAATAAAAATTTTGCCATATCAATTAAAAATTTATCAATTACTGATAAATTGATGTATAGAACTTTATCAACTTTATCAGTTTATTTACTAATTATCTTAGCCATATATTTGTTGAACCAGGAACATTTAGATTTTCAAAATGCTCCAGGTCAGGGCCACGTAATATTCGTGTAATCATTAAGTATAATTGATGATGTTAATAGTAGCAATGCGTGGCGTCATTTTACGTCTGGTTATGTTGAAGTTACGTCAAGTTACACTTGCCATCGAAAAAATACTGAGTGGAGTAATTATGGTTTAATATGGTCCTGTAATTAGAAACTATGGTTCCTGAGAGATTTATTTTTAGATTCCATGAGAAGATTCATATTTGTCTTCTCGCAAGTGCACACTGATTTTCGACATGCTGAAATGGAAAGTATTTGCAGTTTGTATGGAATTCCTTGTGACAACAACATGTCATTACTTTGTAGCCAGGTGATTTTATTATTTTCGCAAAATCAGATCGTCACTGATCACAACTTTTGTTATTAACTTTTTTTGCACCCCTGGAAAATGAACATAAATAAAAAAATTATGAAATAATGGTGTGTACAAAAAATAATGGTATGGTGTAAAAAAAAAAGTGGCATGGTAAAAATGGTAAATAATGGTTTGTAGATGTCAAAGGAAATAGGACAAATGTTGATGAGACTATAAAGTTTGTTTTCTACTTTTTAAGATTTTTTATTAGGACAAATGTTGATGAGACTATAAAGTTTGTTTTTTACTTTTTAAGATCTTTTATTTTTAGCTGGATCACTGGTCTTGAACATCTGTCTGTGTTTCTTTGCTCGAACATTTCGGTCATCGGGACATGTCATAGCAAATATAGTTTCATAATCTTCTTACATCACAGTCATCGTCATCGATATTATACAATTATTGTATTTCAGCAACATGTTTATGTGTTCGAATTTCCATCCCTTGATGATGTGACTGTAATACTTTCTCGATCAGTTCTTGTGAAATTTGCAGTAGAATGGATGGCAAGCTGTAATGATTACGACGAATTATGCTCAAGTATCGAAGATATTAAACATGATATAAAAGTAGACATCATCCGTTTTGTTTGTGAAAAACTTCCTGTGAAATTTTATAGAGCTAGAATTCGAGGGAGTGGGAGATTTTTCGTGTGATTAATTGTCCAAATAGTACTAGCTTCTAAACACCTCCTTATTCTTTCATATCTCATCTTTTATCCTTTATTTTTATGAACTTTGAATTCCAGAAGTACGATTCAACCGACCAGTCTTTTGCCATACGCATACGCTCTGTTGGAAGAAAGTGTAGCCGCATTCCTTCTGAAAGCATAATTGCGGTATTCAGTTTTTCATTGATTCAATGATCTAGATATATTTGCTTTTATCACTTCCCGTTTTCTATCGTTTGAAATATATTCTTTCAGGATATTGGTAAAGCACTTAATTTGACGGAGTCTCCCGTAAATTTGAATAATCCATGCAATACATTTTATGTTATTGAAGAATATGATTCAGATTCACTTCAAAGGCTCCATTTTGGGAAATTGGTACTTTATGATATTTCATTTCCTTGAAAAACAGGGCGGGACATTTTTATTTTGATTGCTTTATTCATTTTTAAAATTGACGAAGAAGAAATTTTTAACCCTGATGTTTTTATTGCTAGGTTAGATCTTACTCTCAGTTGCTAGTTCTTCCGCAAAAGTATGCTTTTAAAATAGAACTTTGAGAAAAAAAAACAAAGTAAATCAATGGAAGTAACAAATAACTTTTCTATCTTTGTATGGAATAAATTTATTAGGTAGGATGTGGTCAAGGTCAGTTGAAAAACTACTATTCCTTGGCTGAACGATGTTACATTGGTAATACAACGATAGATCCAGAATTATCATTTCTTCAAGCTAATATAGCAAAAGTGGTCATCGGATCTCTTGTTCTCGATCCATTCTGTGGAACGGGTTTGTTTCATTTACTTCAATTATTTGATAGTCATGTTTGAATATGGTTACAATCATGTTTGAATATGGTTATAATTTCATAAAGATTGGGCGAAACTGATAACCAGAACGGTGCATATTGTGGGATCTTCGGTTAAAAAAGAGATCCATGAACTTGAAATGATTTATTAATTCCTTACTTATTATTAAATAATTCCTTTCGATAGTTTTCAGGTGGCCTATTGATTGCTGCTGCACATTTTGGTGCTGCTGTTTTAGGAAGTGAGATAAATTATCAAATTGCCAGAGCTATCGGTAATATACTACTTAAGTTATGATTCACTTTGAAAATTTTTCTCTACTCTGTTGAGAACTAAAAGCAAGGCGTTATTTTACTTTCTGTATTTCATAGGTAAATCGTCACGTGCTGGCGTCGAATGCAATACAGCTAAAGAATCAGTCGCTGCAAATTTTCGACAGTATGGAACGGATGTTTATTTCATGGGTTTGGTGATAGCAGATGCCAGTCAGCATCAGCTGTGGCACCCCGGCATGCATTCCGGTACTTTTCCTGTATTCGACGCAATAATAACCGACCGTAAGTATTCATTTTTCCAAAGAAAAAGATTTACAAAAAAGGATTTTGATTTCCTGAAACCTTTTTTTTGTATGTATTTGCAAAGGGTTAAATATCTGCAGCAGTGAATACTTCTACCTAACGTTCATTATAGACGAGAGAAAAAGAAGGAGCTGAACCAGGCTTACGATTTTCTTCCACTTATTTCGGTTCTGTTCAGTATTATTGTTGGCAAAGAAGAGCATGCTTGAATTTTTCATTAATCATTCTTTTTTCTAGCGCCTTATGGAGTTAGAGAGAGGGGGCAGAAAGTCGGCATTAAGGGAAAGAAAGAATCTTGGATAGTCAAAGATACTCAGCAGTAAGTTTTATTGCATGCTTCACGGATCCCTTTTTTTAGGAGAAAGTAAATTCAAGAAGTTTCGTAGCATAATTTGTGCTTGTACTATTTCTTAAATTACTTATCCTTATGTAAATTGTCTTTTACTGGTTACTATTTTTTCAGTACAAATCATTATCCGGAAAAAGCAAAATACTCCATTTCCTCGACATTCCTTGATCTTATCGATCTTGCTAGCAAATTACTTGTTGTTGGCGGGCGTTTGTTGTTTTGGTTTCCAGTGTTCGATGATGAGTTAGTTATTATTATTATTAAAGGAATTTATTAGGAAGGAGCTGTCATGTTCAGGTAGTAGATAATAAGGTATTTTAGGTCTTTGAAGGTGATTCTATCACTCCTTCTTTTTTTCTTTCTAGTCTTTAGTCACTATCTATCCTAGTACAGCAGTTCCATAGGAACCGATTCAAATTTTTAAGCTAATTCACTCAGTAGTGTTGGTTCTCTTTTGTTGGAAGTTGTTATAATTTCAAAAAATGCTAAGTCCTATTTTTTTCTTCTAGATAACAGTCAGAGCATTCAGTAGAGAGGCATTGGTCCAAAAATGCAAAAGTGAAGCCCATACAAATTAAAGATTAATAGTACTTTTTTTAATTTATTTCGAGTGATAAAATATTCACATGCTGATACAAATTTGATGGGACATGTAAAATTTCTTCATTCTAGGCGTATATATCATATGTAGAATGAGCATTCATAACTGCTTTGAGTTTAGCAATGAAAACTATGTGTTCAAGTCTGAGTTTAAAAAGCTCATTTTTCCTAATAGTCGTACAAGGCTTAGAATAGTATGATGTGTTGGTCTTCGACTTTTTATCTCTTCTTATTTTTTTTGCATGCTTAAGTCTCTTCTTTATTTGCTTCTCCCCTGCTTGTCTATTAAAAAAAATTGTGTATTTGCTTTTAAGCTTGGTTTTGGATCCAAGCAGTGGATTCCAAAACCGTGGTCCGGAACATTTAAGTTACTAATCGATTTGCTGGTAAGAAAATAGTGACCTTTAACCCTTGACCCCAAAACATTATTGACACGATGTGTCTTTTATGACATAATTTTATTGTGAAATATAATAACACTTTCTTTATTGATGCAGTAGAGTTTAAATTGCGCAACAAAGATAATATGGTTGTCCGTTATATGCGGTCAAAGCTGAAGGTAAGCATTCATATCCCTGTGGACATATATCATCTTCCACTGAATTCGTCAGCGAACATAGTATAGGCATATATTTTCCCACTGTTAGTTTTTTCTTCCGGTGGGGCATTCTTCAAATACAAATTAACTTTTTGCAAAGATAGATTTTTATTAGAGTTGAATGTATTTTGGTATGGAAGATTAATAATTAAGCATACACTCATTTGCTATATGATTCCACCTCAATGATATGAGCATTGATAATATATTTGTTTTATATTTCTCGAATAATATACCAGGAAAGATAGCATCAGGTCTTGGCTTACAGCAGATGTGATGAGATTCTGCGAGACTGTATATGCATTCAGCATTGGCATCATAGCAGTCCGTGGAGCGAGTACAATTTTTAGGCTCACTTCGAATCCTTAAGGCATCATAGCATACATCTGCAATGATCTCCTACGTTTTATTATATAATGATTTTCATTTCTTTTCTTTAACTCCAGGGAAATAAACAGGCGAGGAAGAAGGAGGAGGAAATCAATTGCTCTTTCTTTTATTTTCTTGCTCTTTTACTCGAGGCGTATATTTTTCACTTGTGTTTGTCACAAAGTTACATTAGTTACGCTATGACTGTTTTTATAATCGGGATGAAATGTCAAAAAAACTTACCAATAGATGCTTGAATTGACACGAGAATATATGTAATGAACATAATTTCTCGAATGTAGCAATGTCTGGAAGAACGTCAGGGAATTATTTCGCGAAAGTTTCGATGATTATTTTTCAAAAAATTTTGAAGTGCCATGCTCTCCGGGGGTACAGTAGCATTTTTTGTAGTTTATTTTTATTAGGATATTGGAAATAATGGAATTTGAATCTAAAGCATAAGTTAACCAATCAGTCCGTTCCGTAAGGTTGCATTTTGATCTTAAGGAATGCTAAGAAAATTTGGCAGAAGGCTATCAACATTAAAAAATCAAAGCAAGATGATTAAATGGCCTATGCTTCTAAATTTCTATCGTTTGTATAATTAAGAAAATAGTTTAATGGAAGAAATTAGAAATTATGCGAACTTACGGATTGAAATAACACATGAGAAAGGTTTACGTTAGTAATGGGGAAGTGTTATACACTAGTGCTAATTGTCTTTCTCGTCTTCTTTTATTTGGCTTGGTTTGGATGATACTTAACGTTGACATAGTGATAGCAATAGCTTAAAATATCTGTTCCATCCTCTTTCCCGTTTCATCTATTCATAGTTTGTTTTTTCGTTCTTTTTTTCCTTTTTTTTGTAAGTATTAGTTGGAGATCAAACAGAATTGTATAATGTTTGCCCTACTTGCTATAAGCTTTAGACAAATAAAAAAAGAAAAGTAACATAATATAATGAAGGACTGGATAGAAAGTATAACGATTTGAGAATTCATGAAAATCATAGGAATGATTTTAATAGCTACTGGATAAGAAAGGCCTTATATTATTATTTGAGTCGTTTGAAATTTATTTTAAATGTTTGAGCTTAAACTATTTTCATCTTTTTCACATATATGAGTTTTATTTTTTTTGTCCTCGTTGATAACTTCTATCCTCAATTCATTTGTTCTCTATCATTGTAAACAGATAGAAGTGAAACAGTTGTTCAACTGTCCTAAAGCATACATTAGAACGTTTGGAAATGAAAGATGAAGCTTTGCACTTAGTGTCCTTTACCAAACAGTAGCTGTCATCAAGGTTATTATTGGTTCATAGCATGCGTATTCTGCTTCATTCAAAATTTATACTTTTGATCATACGAATCCTTTAAGTTTTTTTTTTTTTTTTTTCTACATAATTTTGCAACTGCTGAAATGCTGACGCGATATAAGTGACAATCTTGCACTAACTTCTGCGTATGTTCCATTGTTATCCATCGCATGTTTTCCGAATATTCCTACTTTCAAAATGTCAAGTAATTGGATGATTTAAAAGAATGGGCTATGCTAAATCAACTGTTCCCTGAAACATATGAGGTAGAAAAATTGGTTTGAGCTACTTTGTGACTTTTATTTTGCTTTAATATTAGATCTTGTATCAATCTTGATGAGGGAATCTTGCAACGGTTCACGACTAACTGAGTTATTGAGAGCACAATAGGATGGAAATTTGTGTGAGAAGCTTCAAACAAGTCTAGATATATTACCAGAAATTGGATAATTGGAAGCTTATGACACAAACTACTGGCGGTTTAGCTACAGATGATAATAACTTGAAGGTTTTTGTGGCTTTCTGCAAGATATTGGCTAGTGTCATTGTGCGGAGGCAGTGTTGTGTGCGATAATAAACGGTATGGAAAGCGTGTTTCACATTGTATAAGCAAAAAATCTTTGAAACTTCATTGGATTTTAGATATTCCGAAGCAATTTTACCAAGACATGATGCGATGAAACTGATTTATAACTGTGAGCAAACATTGTCACGGAGATATTCCAGGTAAATTATTTATTTCAGCCTTCGCTACTTTAAATTATCATTCAGTGTAGTTGACATTCGAGAGAGATGGAAATTATTTATGCTGCTGAAGAGTTTAGATTTGAATATACTAGTAGTATAGTGATCTTCATTGATATCACTAGATCAGAGTTTGATGCACATACCATTAATGTAATAATGTATAAGTAAAATGTCGTTTATTTTTAATGAAATGGTTGGTAAGCTATGTTTTATGACAAGATTTTTTCTTTTCCTACTTTGAGTGTTTTTCAATATTGAAACCTCGAACGCTAAGATGATCTGTTAATGAACTTTTACAGGAGATTACTTGTATATGAAAAATTAAGAATGGTAAAGGATGATGAAAAGCCATATGTTGAAAGGGATTGTTATGAAAATATAACTTTTCGACAGCGTGTATTCAGGAAAAATTGATTCATTTGTTTTTTTTATAATATGCTACTTCCTTCACTTGTGAAATATAGCATTTCATTCATGTCTGCTGAATTTAAAATCCTAAAAGGAGGATTAAAAGAAATTGTCAATGTTAAAATGTGTATGAACAAGCTATGCTCAATAAAGTACTTCAAGTTCAGATATATATCACTTTCATATATCAGTTTCTGCTAATGAAGCAAAATTTAGTTCGAACAATAAATCAGTCCACAGATGTATAGTTTCGGAAATTTATCAATTAGATGACAGTGACAGTATGTGTTTACAAATATTGCATAATCTGCAAAATTTGCATTTTGTTGAAGCATTTCATAGCAATTTAAAGTATGAAGCTTCTTCACATTCTAATCATTACTTATTTTCAAATAATTAAACGGTTGTAACTGATACATTATACGAGATTATGTCGTACTTGCAATGTACGCCAGCAACGATACAGGTATTTTAAGCATTATTGTTGACTTTTAATACAAATGAATTATTCGAATTTAATTGAATTACTGATATGCCAATTTGCTTATTAATTAACCTTTCTTAAATTGATTTTTTGAAATCTTATTTGCTTTTTCTCTCTTTTTTTTGCTTTATTTATTTTGTTCAAATTTCAAGTTAAATATAATACATAAACTGGAGTTTAATCAGTAAATGTGCAAGAATTATTGGATGTATCAAATAATAAGTAATAAAAATTGCATATTATGTTTCGAATAAATTTACTTTATATAATACAGTAGTCTTTTTGAGGGGATATAAAAATCATACTATAGGTACCATGTACAGGTGGTACAACAACGCATATCCTTGAAGCAATTGGTACTGAACGATTAGCATTTAAGGTGAAACTGAAGCAAAAATATTATGATTTATATAGGGTAAGAAATTTAATAATATTCAATTCGTACTTCTCTTTAATTAAAATTCAATCATTTTGATTCAATAATTAATTCAATAATTAAGTGAGATTTTATAAATGATTAAATAATTAAGTACTGTATCAAATAATCAATGCAAAACTGCACAGAGTATTTAGTGGAATGATATTTAACAATGATAGCATATAATATATTTATTAATAATAGCATCATAAAAATTAAAATCATATAATTCGAAGGATATCAATAATATTGGATCCTGTTTAGCTTTATGATATTTTTATTTTTAAAATTATTTAGTTTTGGCTAAAATTTTCAAATGAATTTATCAAATTTAATACAAATATATGAGCTATTATTTAGCAATCATAATTATAATTAATTTAATATAATTGTTTAAACTATTTGTAATTTTGCACATCTATGAATTTCTTTATTAAAATTTTTCTGAAATTCACAAAAACAAAAGCTAACAATAATAAGTATAATTAATTGCTTAATTTGTATCATAATTACATATTTTGTTAATGAAATATTTCCATAAAAAAAGCAAATATAAGAATAATTTAGGTATCACCACCACTTGGTTTTGTAAAACCTGGTATGAAGAAGGAGCTTTTTCTACGACGATTAGTTCGTTTCGCAAAAACTTTTTCAATTTTTTTCTCCTTTTTTTGAAATTAATTAATTAATTAAAAAATCCGTTTATTTTTTAATATTACAATTTAAAATCATCGCGTATTATATAAACAACAATAATATATTAAGGATAAAATAATTTTCTTCGTGATTATTAATCATTTAAAAAAATTTTTATTTTTCCCAGGAAATAAGAATTTTTTTCTTTTTTTTTATTAATGAAATTAATATCATAATCATTATATGTTAATTAATTTTACTTAGTTCTATTGATTATTGACATGATTTAATTTAATTCATTGAGCTAGATTGTTTAAGTAATTAATTAATTAATTGATATTCTTTTATTGGTACATGTTTTATTGATAATATAAACAAGAAAATATACATATGTAACGCAAAAAATTTTTAAACAGCTGCAAATTAATTTTATATCGGATAATATTTTAAAAAAAATTGAATAATAGAAATTGTTTACTTAATTTTATCATACATTATTTGTTTAAACAAATGTTTCATCATCGATTTTTCATCCTACTACTCTATAAACATCCTGTCACCAATTTATTTCAATTTATAAAGTCATGTCATCGTTTTGTTTCAACCTGAAGAGTTTTGTCAACCATTAATTTAATTTTAGCCTGGAAAACCAGGAAAAACAAAATTGGTAGTGGAATATATAGCATCACCACAGGGTTATGATCCAAGAAAACCATTTGTTGATGGAGCTGATGTTGGCGTTTTAGACTTACGTGTAAGAGGTAAAAATTAAAAAAAAAAAATTGTTCTAAATGGTTGTAAAATTTGCAATTTTTTATGTAAAATAAAGTTTTTCAAAGTAATATATTATATCCTAAAGTTTTTTTCATTCAAAATTACTGCTTAAAATTCACTTTAAAATTTGAAATCAAAATTTTTCACACTAAAATCTAGTTTAATTTATTTCGAAAGATAGTGAAAATTTGCAAGTTTAATTAAAACTTTAAAATATTTTAAACGAAATTGGAATTTAAATTAATATTCATTTAATAAATACATTTAAAATTTATCAAACTTTTGACTTGTATTATCATAAAAGATAAATTATTTAAAGAAGAAATATTTTAATTCATTCACTTGAAAGAGAAAGAAATTTCACAATTTTTCGTACTAAAACTTTTAACAAAAATTGTTTTAATATTTCTTTTGAATATAATTTATTAACGATTGCTTAACTTTTATCATTTATTTATTTTATTATTTTTTTTTTTTATAGCATATAGCGACAAAAGATTACCAGATAAAGTGGGAAAGATAGCGGGTAAATTGGTGACAAAAGCAGGACAAAAGTTTACTCCAGCAGTGAGTAAATTTTCCCGTCATTAATGATAATTGTAAATCTTGCAAATAAAATTCTTATGAATGCGACAAATTTCCACAATATACAAACAATTAACAATTATAATTATGCAAATTAATTTATTCAAAAAAAGATAATTATAGCGATAAATTAAAATTGGCATATATAGCCCAAAAGAATTATGCTAAATTTTTGTATTATATGTAGAAACATTAGACTTACATCGAATAAAACACAACTTTAGATATATCATTGAAAGATGATGAAGATAAAATTGCTGCAAGTTTAAAAATGTCGTTTAATTAAGCACTCTCATTAAGGCTTTATAAGGGGTATATATTGGTTTGATCTTATCAACATTAAATAATTTTGGATAATTTTTGATAAAAAAAAAAAATATTTTTATTTTAAAATAAAATATTTTTGTGTAAATTAATGCAAATTTTTTCAAAATATTTCATATATTGGCATTAAAATTTTGTTTGCAATCTTTTTTCTTCCTGTAAAAAAAAATTTTTCATTAATTTTAATTTGATGAGAAAAAAAGAAGTGGAAAAAAAAGAGAAATTTATCATAATAATTTAAATTAATTAATGGAATTAAATCTTTAGCCAGGTTATGATGATCTTAAATTGGAAACGGAAATTGATGAAATTTATAAAGATAAAGATAAGCTAACACCAGGTGAACAAGAAGGAACAAAAGAAAAGGAAAAGAAAGATAAAACTGAAAAGGAAGAAGATGAAAGTAGTTCAAGTAATGGAGATGGTAAGTTTGATGATTTAATCGATTGCTTCATGAAAATTAATAAATTCTTATCATTATCATTTTTCTCTTCTTTTTTTTTTTGTAATGTTAGTATCAAATTATTTCGATCAGTTGATTGTAAAATATTCCATTGTATATTTCTGTTAATAATAATACAACAGTGATAATGATTACTGATAAAGTTAATGGAAAACTTTGCTTATATTTGTATTACTTTAATTTTTCTTGGTGCGAAACTTTTTAATTAAATAAATTTTGATTCAGATAATTCAGATAAATGGATTCAAAATCTTCCAATACATTATTTTAATAAATTTTTAATTGTTTGGAAATAGTTGACGGATTTTTGAAGATATATTTTAATTCATAAATGATCATATCTTCATGATATAAGTAAAATTGTTCATTTATAACCAATAAAAATTAATTATTATTTTGAGATTTTAATTAATTTCAATTAATTACTGCCAAAATGATTGCAATTAAAAATTCATATGAAGTGTCGTAATAATTATTATAGCATATATTTTCAAATTTTAAGCACTATAGAATTTTAGCTTATTTGTAACTTTTATTTTACTTCATAACTCATTTACTGAATGCTGTAAAATGAATTGAATGGAATTATTTTTAAACAAATTTAAAGCTACGATATTTGACTAATACCAGCAATGTAGCAAAAAAAAAAGCTGCAAACAATAATTGTTCTGATATAATTTTAAATAAAAATAAAGATGGTTATATTATTTTGAAAATACGAAAAATGGCAAAGATATGTTTAATTTTCATAATATTTCACAATTTGAATCATTCTTTTTCTTTTTAATTGCTAATAATTAAGAATTAAGTTTGAATTCAACGAATTTATTTATATGCTACTTTTTGTAGAGCTAATTGAAATTATGAGCAAAATTTAAAAATTGAGTAAATAAAGAGATGTAAATGTATGTGTAACTAATAGATATGTATGCTGATGTGGAATTGATTTCCTTATCAGTTTCAATTTGTATGATAATTTTAAAATGCATGCTTTATGTTAGCTTTGTAATTAAAGTTTAGAGAAAAATAATTGAACTATGCTAATTATGAAAGAATTAGCTATGCAATAAAAGTTTTATTAGGATGATAAATTATTTGCAATTTTCTTCATTATTTTATGCATTGGAATTATTGCTTACTAATAAATAATAATAAATTTTCAGATAAAAAGAAAAACAAAAAAGCTACCGGTATATATTTTATTTATTGATTTATTTGTTTGTTTGTTTTTTCATTCATTTCATATCAAAAAAATACAACCCTTTTTTTTTTTAAATTTATAAAAAAATAAATCAAAATTTCATAATGAAATGTTTGTTTATATTCACATTAATAGTAATTGTTTCAAATTTAATTTTATATTAGCTCCGATTCAAGTGGTTATACCAAATTTATGGAAAGATTTAAACATCGGTCAGATCCAAAAGAATGATGAATTAAAAGCGGCATTGGAAATGATGACAAATGAAAATAAACGATTGGATGAAATTATCAAGCAAATGATGAAAGAAATTACTTTTCTTCGTGAATCACTTCTATCAACTGTGATGAAATTGGGTGAAATAATTGATACAATTTTAAAAATTAACAAAAAAAGAAAAATTCTGAAAAATTTTTGAAAATATTGAAAGAAATTTTTTTTTTTTCAGAATAATCAATCAATATAATAGCAAAATGATTTTTATTTCAAATTCTTCTTGACTATTAATAGCCTCATTTTTTTTCTCTTTTTGCAGCAAGTACAGTAGTAGCAGGTACAGCGACAACATCACCAAGTGATGGTCAAGGAAAATTAACCTCTATTACCGTCACTTCTCCTACTACAGGAAAAAGTGGTGGTGGCATCAGTGTTGGTAGCACTATTACTGGGATATCTGGTGATATTAAAACTTCGGCTGCTACCGGTACTAGCCGTGTTTCAAGTCCTGCTACTAGCGGTGCTGGTGGTGTTAAAAGTTCGGCTGCTACCGGTACTAGCCGTGTTTCAAGTCCTGCTACTAGCGGTGCTGGTGGTGTTAAAAGTTCGGCTGCT